CCTCTGTCCCAGCTAAAACTAGGACAGGATATAAGGAAGAAATTTTTCACTCAGAGGGTGGTGAGGCAGTGGAACAGGTTGCCCAGAGAAGCTGTGGCTGCCCCATCCCTGGATGGGTTCAAGCCCAGGTTGGATGAGGCTTTGGGCAACCTGATGTAGTGGAGAGTTTCCCTGCCCATGGCAGGGGTGTTGGAACTAGATGATCTTTGAGGTCCCTTCCAACTCTAACCATTCTATGATTCTATGATTCTATGTACTGCTTTATTTTGTAAGACGTTAGATAAAACAGACAAAGGTCATGTTTTCTTGAGACAGGTAAAAGCATTTACCTGCCTAGTCTCTCTGTTTCACTGTAAAACATCAGGATCCAACGCAGCTTATGCTGTCGTATAAATAATCATTTTTCTCTGCTCGTCTGTTCCCTACGGGACATCTGTTCTTTGTGTTTACCTCCAGATGCTCCAGTTTTTTTATGTGTGATCTTTCAGTAGTGCTGCTTCCCATATGTTTTCTGGAGTATATTTATTACTGAATTCATAGAGCACCTGATGTGCAAGCCATCTGGAAATCATAGAGTCCTATATCTAGGCTTTCCTTCTTCCTATTCCATTTCAAATGATTCTGCTGCATCTTCCTTTAATCAGAAGTTCAAAAGCATATTTGCATGACTAAAAACACACACATGTATGTGTATGTATATTCAGAACACTGCAGAGCACTTGTTATTTTGCTGTAGTTAATGTAACTCAGAAGAAGTGCTTTGAACTTGTCTAATAGAAAGTGCACACATTTCACTTTGGGAAAGTATGGACATTTTATGCTCGACTTCATGCCTTAGATGCCTATGTATCTGCCTGAGCATCTGTATTAATGACTTTTCTGAAATGATTTATCTATTTACAGTTCAGTTTAAGGTAACAAAAGCAAAGAAGGATGACATTGTCATTAATACTTCTCGTAAGTAGTTAGGCAGGTAGTTAAAGCACTCTGTATTGTCCTATTGCTAGAAGGGATCAGCTTTACATGAGATGCAGTAATGGTGTACTGTGCAAGAAAAAATAAAATAGGGTCACTGAAGCCATTCCATTTTGTGTTGGAAAGAAATATTGCTCGCCAGATTGGTTGTTTACTTATTGTCTCAGCTGATGTGCAGAAACTTCCAGCTGAGGAAGATGTGCTAGCTGGGTCGTTTGTAATGAGAGAAGCATATAATGAACATACTTATGAATATGTCCAGAAGCAGAATAGGCAGACAATTTGAGGGTAGTCTTTTTCAAGAGTCGAGTTTTTCAGCTACAGCTAATGAGTATTAGGAAGCTACTGCCTCCTTTTCCTGGCTACCAGCAAAACCCTGTCCTATAGCAGCATATTACCAGTCCATGTGATCTGCTAGTGTAAATAAAATCTGTGTAGAAAAGCAGCAAAGCAAGCCCATTTTGTCAAAATTATTCAGATAAAAACACACGGATAATATTCTTTACATTAAACTGGACCATTTTAATAGAACAGAGAGTTAGAGAGTCACTAAATATGTGTCAGGTAAAGGTGGTAAAATCTCTGTAGGAAATCAATTACCACTGGAGCAATAACTCAGTCTGTATCATCTGACACCAACAGACTTTACAAAGTATATTTTTCCTTTGAGGAGAGGTACTTTAGAATTTGATTTCAAATGAACAACTGAGGAGCTTAAATCCTGAAATAAATTTGAGGACCTGAGTGATTATTCCTAAAATACTTAGCTAACTTAGCACCAATGCAGCAGACTGAAGAGCAGATTCCTTACCTCAGCTCTGTAGTCACCCACAGTCCATTAATTGTGGGTTGACTGTTCTAGACTTCTGAGAACTAGATGAGACCAAACCCTACAGCGTTAGGAGGACCATCAATTTCTGTTTAAACTCATTGTAATAGACTGTTTAGCATTTTGAAAAGCAGGGAACTAAACTTAAACCTGTCACTGAAATAAGTTTTACATTTCAGATTCAGAGTAATTTATATTATGTTTCAGCTTTATAATTTCTAGTCAGTTACTATAATGGATATAGTAGAACGAGTGAATTATTAACCTAGAAAAAATGAAGCAATTGAGGTAAGTTTAATAGTTATTCTGATCGTCATCATTCATAGAGTATAAGAATGCTATGCACTGTTAGTAGTAAGTTTTCTGATCATATAGTCTGAAATATGCTTCTACCTGCAGGTCATGGGATAACAGCAGTAAAGGAAAAAGCAGGAACTACCCTAGGAATTCATAATGCCAGTTCAGCATCTTCGGAAACAGCAGAGCCTCCTGCAGCTGAAAGTCCAATTACACGTAAGTTCAAGTTCACTGAAATTGGACAAAACTCTTTGACACTGCTAAATTCATCCAATTTACAGAATTTTAAGATTTTGATCCCAGAATCCAGTTTACTGTAATTTGTGACTTGAAAGTATGCTGTAGCTTGCTTTTTTCTTTCGTTAGAAGCAGAAGTTTCTTTGGACCAAAGCTCTTCTGAGAATATTCCTTCTTCTCCTTCATCTGGATCTCGTGGCATGTTGTCAGCTATCACTAATGCTGTACAGAACACAGTGAGTCATTTTAGCTGCCTCTCTGTTCTAGTTATTCTTCATCATTTTTATTCGCCTCTTCACTGTAGGTCACATTTAACAGGTAGAGTTTGTTCAGTTATAGGTCATAGGTCTTTGTAAAAACAGTTCTGTTGTAAGTCTGTTTAGAGTCTTTTCCTTGGCAAAGTAACTGTATCAAATAAAAAAAAAATAGTCAAACACAGTTACTACTTTGGCACCAGTTTCAATGTGAAAATATGGTCTTCTCCTAAACTATATAGAATTCTGCAAGTTCTTGGGGAATCTTTTTTGTAGTTGTGGTACCGTCATCTGTTTTTTTTTTACAGTTAAGTCCTTCCAGAGAAAGTATGGCAAGTTTTGTTATCATTTTGAAGGCAGATAAAATAAGAAAATACTCCATTTACTTTTTTTAATGGTTTTACTAAACTCTATTGTTAGTCCCTCGCCCTCACCCCTCTATCTAGGCTCTCATTCCATATTAGCCTTCCCGGAAGGTGGTCTGGTGGCAAACTCAGTGAGGCAAAGTCTTTTATCCACGGTTCTTTCCTATTACGCTTTCTGTGTATGTTCTCTTATATTGTGTGTTGCACTTCATCCTTTTCTGGTTTTCTGTGTTTCAGCTTTTCACAGAATCACAGAATCACAGAATGTTAGGGATTGGAAGGGACCTCAAAGGATCATCTAGTCCAATCCCCCTGCCTGAGCAGGACCACCTAGATTAGATCAAAATCCTGTACCATACTGTTTCCAAATCAATTTTTGTGTCATCTTTTTCCTCAACATTTTTTTCAGACTATTATCATGCAAATGTTTTCGTCTGGGCTTTTCAGTATGATGCTTCCCTTGAAATTCTAAGACTTTAAGCATCAGCTAAAAAAGCATAGGAGACTAAGTCCCCATTGAGCATGTTTTACAAAGTGACAATTCTGTTTTAGTGCGTATCCAGTTCACTCTGAGTGCATCATCACTCTAATACCAAAGATTTTGGGAGCATAGGGAGATTCCTATGGACTATTCCTAAGACTGTTGCTACAGAATCTGGAGCATCATAGGGCTTGTGAGAGCTGGGCACCAGTAAGATTACCTGAGCATTGTATAAGATTTTCAAATGAGAGAAATGTTTTCTTGTGCAAACCTCAAGAGGCTACAGCAATGAACGTCACCAAACAAAAAGCATAACTTAAGGTCTCAGTAAGTTGCCTGTAATGCCATTGGAGACTTTATAGGGTTTTCCATTTATATTAGGTTACATCAGCACATGAGTATATGACAGATACATAATCCAGATTGAAATCGAGATCTTTAGCCAGTGAAAATTCTTCAGTGTACATGAAAAGTGATGAGTGAGGGTGAGTGCTAATGCACAGGCACAGGAAAAACAACTGTATTTCGATAGACAGTTCCAGAGTGATCATAAGTGTCAAAATTTTAGAAATCAATTAGGTAAGGCAGGATCATACTGTTCATGATGGACTTTGGCTACATATAATTCATATCTAAAATATGTTCCCACGGACTAGATGCCACTTCGGATGAAATTAAGGTGGCCTTATTCATAATTTTTTTGTCGGCAACAGCTGTTACGTTTCCTCCAGCGTAAGTCTTTTAATTAGCTACAAGTATTTGTGTAGTTCATTTTTTTCTCTTTGAAAATATGTTCAGAACAAGGTAATATAATTTTATAAATGTATCAATCTTATTGTTAGTTAAAGCATAGAAAATCTAGGGACCTGAATGTTCAAAGATGGTGTCAGCAAAAGCAACACTCTTTACAGTTCATATTAGCATAAAGCGGAAAGAAAATAACCGCATTGCTTTATTTTATACAGGGGAAAAGTGTATTATCTGGAGGCTTAGATGCTTTGGAATTTATTGGGAAGACAACCATGAATGTCCTTGCAGAAAGTGATCCTGGATTTAAGAGAACCAAAACACTGATGGCAAGAACAGTTTCTCTATCTCAGGTTGGATTTATTTAAATACAGCTCTGTCAATGCAGTTTCAGATTCCTTTTCCAGAATTTCAGATGCCTCAGGGAGAGGCTTTTTTTATTGCAGTAGATATTGGCTAGGCTTATGGAAATAAATATTGTGCTTTATATTTACTCCGCTTTTTTTTTCTTCTCAGAACCACAAAAGATAATGTAAAGTCATCTTTTCTGCATAATGACATGTACAATAGCTGATTTTATTATGTGATGATAAATCATGACACTCTGGAGACAGAATTAAATTGTTGGGGTTTTTATAATGGCTGTAGATAGCTGTAGACTATTTCTTAGTTACTAGCACTATGCTACTTTCCTTGGAAATGAGTAATACTGGAATATGACATACATTTCATTAGGAATTAAAGCTGTGAAAAGTTACATCTTAATGTCTATCTAAACTATTGTTACCCTTACACAGTCATGACTCATGTTCAAAAGTTGAGAGACATGATAAAAACATAAATATAAGTGCTGTCAGTACAAAATTATTTTAGCTTTGCAGACACTGAGAGGAGGGAGGCTGTGGAAATCAACAGACATTGAAAAAAAATTTAAGGTTACTACGTGTTTACTTCCTTCTAGAGAGGAGTAAGGTGTTTTTCTTTTAAGGAAATGTTTCATCTTTAGTGTTGGTCATTGTAAGTGTAAACAGACCGATACTGTTGTAGTAAGCCAAAAGCAAATGGCTCTTGTTAAGGCCCACAGGGTTAAAATGAGCTTTTGCGAATACCCTCCTAAACAATACACGTGAATTCACACATAAAATCTGAGGCAGAAAGTGACATAAATCAGTTCTCGTGGGTCACATAACACAGTGCTTCCTTTTCAGTGATTTGTAGATAAAACTTTGTGAGTGAGCTTTTGAAGGTGGAGACTGAAAAATCTACCATCATGTCTTTTGTAGTAAATGAAGAACTGAAGATAATACTGCAGAAATTTTGAATGATGCAGTAGTGTAAGTGACGAGAGTTCACCTGCATTCAGAGGCTTATTTGTGACTTAAGATGCAGTTCAGATGTATTTACCTGCTTTACTGTAGCAAACTCATAGGAGAGGCCATTTGTTCCTGGGAACAGAAGGAAGGAATAGAAGATCCCATTCTCTACACTATTCTATCTCTCTTACACACTGATAGGAGTGTATAAGAAGATCACTCCAAAATATCCCCAAGTATATGAAGTATAGTTCTACCCCACCTTTGGTGGAAGTCATACCTTATTAGGCCAATGTCTTTTGTCAGTCCCACTGTCATATAAAACTGACTTTTGTATCTGGTAAAAATATTTTATAGGAAATATTTATGTAGGTGCATTATTTATGCAAGTAGGTAACTAGGTCCTGGAAATAATATTCTTCCCATATTGTGGTCTGTGGAATGGATTGCATGACTCTTTAAGACTGTGTATGAAATAGTCCTTCTTATTTTCCTTTCATTGTAGTTGGTGGCTAAATTTATTTTATGGTATCCATAGATGACATTGCTTTTGAGAACATAAGCAAGATTATTTGTGTGTTCATTGTTTGTCAAAAAAAGATGGTTAGCAATTACCATTGGGAAAACCACACTTAGAGTGCTACTTAAATATTTTATTAGAGAAGTTTATCAAAAAAGAAGTTAGATATTTCAGCTCTAAAATTTCAGCTCTGCAGGTGTGATATAGTCCCAAATTTTATTACTACTTCCTAGAAAAGCAGAAAGTAATAAAATCTGGCATACCTGCAGCACTACCAATAAAACAACAGGAATGATGTATATTTTTGCAGCTGTTGCGAGAAGCTAAAGAAAAAGAGAAACAGAGGCGGGCCCAACAAGTTACAGTTGAAAGAACAGCACATTATGGACTACTTTTTGATGAGTTCCAAGGTTTGTCTCATCTTGAAGCTCTGGAAATCCTGTCAAATGAAAGTGAAGCCCAGGTACAGTATGCAGACAGCATTAATCAAAGCGATTGGTAAGAAATTGTTCTTTACAGTAATTTCGCTTTGCAGCTGCATGTTAAGTTTTTCATCATCTTCGGAGAAAGCTGTATTGGTCCCATGGGCCGGTCCTGGGCTTCAGGAAATCACTCTCAACACACAAAAAATTTGGCTCTAAGATTAATTCAAAACAAACAACTTCGCAACTGAAAGTTATTTTTGTTAGGACCATGTATCAGCTTGTGACACTGTGCAGATGTCATCTCAGAATTGGCAAGGAAGGTGATGTCTTTTG